CTGTAACGCTGTGTTTCTGGGCTTGCCATTTTTAGCAATGTAATGGTCTAGGTTAACCTTTGTAACCCGTTTTGAAATAATAAGATTGTATTATTTGAGTATTATGTGTTTTGTGCTTAATTGCTTAATTATGTGGTTTGATTAATTAAGAATAAAAATAAGCGTCAAAATTTAAGTGTAAAATAAACTTGATATCTTTAGATAATGTTGTAGTAGTTGAAACAAGGTTTCCGAAGATATAAAGAATGCCGAAATCCGAGTTATAACGAGGAAGTTATGACCTGTCGAAGTTTCGCGACAGAACCGGCAACGCTGAATAACGTAAAAAGTGAAATTTACGTTAAAGCGATATTTAGCCTTAGTGATCTAAACGAGAATCGAAGATCTCGTTGTTAGTATCAAAGCGATAAAAAGTTAGGCGAGAACGGACGTCAAACGAAGAAGTTATGAATTTATAACGAAATTTTCTGTCCCGGCCTATTAAAAATAAATAATAAAAATAAAGTCAAAATTAGCCGACGGAGTCTAAACGAAAGTTGTAGAGCGTAGTCTCACCTTTCCGTGGATATAAAGAACGTCGAAAACGGAGTTCGTATGAAGAAGATATGAATTTCCGAAGTTTATTAATTAATTTGTATTTATTTTTAAATCAAAATTCGGAAGCATTATCCGAAGGCGAGTCACATCTGATCCGACTTACGCGCCGCGTAAGTGAGTACGCCCCGCGTACTCCAAAGTGTCGACACTTCGGATGACGCATGCAGTGACGTTTCGGAGCGTACGCCCCGCTAGCGTACGCCCCGCGTACGAGAGGCTTCCAGCCTCCTATAAATAGGATGCGAGGGTCCGGGTTTATTGCTAATTTCCTCTCGTTTTTGTGCCGAAGCTCTGCGTTTTTACCCCCGAAGCCATCCCGAAGCCCCGGTAATATTCCCGAGTCCCGAAGCGAGTCCCGAGATCCCGAAGATCCCGAGAAGTGCGGTTTCCGAGCCGAAGCTCTGCCCGCGAGAAGTTCGATTTTCGTAGAGATCTTCCAGATCTGCGGAGGATTATTACTTTTGCAAGTCGTAGTGCTGTCCGATCATCTTCTGATCAAGTGAGTGTATACTACCTTTCATAAACGCAATAATAATACAAGTATGGTTCGAGGGTATTAAGTTTATTGTCGTTTATACGTGTGAATGCGTTGTTACTTTCTCATAACGTATAACTATGAAGTATTTTATACGAGATACGTGTTATGTGTATATTTTGTTGTTATGTGTGTGAATGTATATTCACTTTCTTCTATCTTACAGATATGATTATTTCTATATGAAATACGTGTTATGTGTGTGCCTCATCTGTTATATGGAAAATGTATTGATCAAGCATGCTATACAGGTTTTGAAAATATGTATAAAAATGTATGTTTTTATCTACTAATATGTTGGGTAGAACATGGGTAGATAGTTGGTGTGTAATAAACAGATGAGAGGCCTCGTTGTTGTTTTGATCCAGTCATCTAGCGGAATTTAGATGACGACCACGGACTTTTCTAGATAGTCCAGTGGAACGCTAGCAGGCTCATAACCTGTAGGTGTTAATGAACTTGGGTGTTCATTCTGTATTCCATCCCCCTCATGGTTGCCTTATTTGACTTATATTGCTGAGGAAACCCCGCAGCATGTGTTGTCACCCCGATGAAAATATTCTTAGATTAGGTCCCTTGTGTTAGTTATTTTAGGGACGTAAAGTGAGAATAACGGGAATGGGTAACTGGGTTATTGTTGGTTGATAATAATTAATTTAATTATTTATTGTGGGTTGAAAACCCTATATGCTCACCAGGCTCCCAAGCCTGACCCACTCAGTTTTATTTGTATTACAGGAAGTGGCGCAAGGGCGTAAGATGGATGAACCATCAAGTTGTTTTGTTTACAAGTCTATATGTTTATATTTGTTATATGACTTGTAATGTATCGTTTATGCTTATTGGTCTGTATCGGAACATGACACCCCGAGTTTTGATTATAATGAAAATACATTTCTTTTATGAAATGCTTTGGTAAACATTGTTTTATCATGTTTTGTTTTTGGGAACAAATTCCGCAACTCTTTCAAATCAAAAGGATTTACTCTGAATTTATTTTAAAAGCATAAATGAAAATCGGTCTTTTCTGGCCGAGATTTTGGGGATGTCACAGTTGGTATCAGAGCATTAGTTTAAGCGAACTAGGAATTTTAGGATTTCTAGACTTAAACTTAGAATGCTAAGTGGAATTTTGAGATGTGTGTCTGTTATGTTTTAGACACGAGCACTAGTTTATTTTAGGAAAGTTGCCTAAAATGCTTTATGTGCTAAATGTTATATGTTGCCATATATGATATTATTTGTTCGGATCTATGGTCTGTTGCCGACCGGATCTAGAAACTTTATGTGTGTAGGATTCTAAGCGTACGTCTACGATATTAGAACTAGCATGTAAACGTTTCGGAGTGATAAGGATGATTTGAATATCTATCGTGAATAAGGATCTAATTTCACCTTATTCGGTGTGTAGATCAAAATGGTGAGAACAAGAAGTGGAGTTGGAAATGCTGATGAAAACAGGAATCAACCACCAGTGATTGAACAAAGACCTGTTGTAGCAGCAGCACCTGAGCCAATAACCATGGCTGGTGTGCAATTGATGATTCAGACGATGTTGGATCGTCAGATGGATGAAACTAGACGGTTGCTTCAACAAAATCGTGAAGAACTGTCGATTCGTGTGGAAGAGCCTGAATTAAATGAAGGGCACTCGGAAGGTGGAAACTTAGTGGTCTGTTGGTCAAGCCAACCCACCGATAGTTAGGCAAGACAACCGTGATGGAAGGAATGATGGAATGGGATGCAAGTACAAGGACTTTTTGACTTGCAAACCATCGACCTTCAATGGAAAGGAGGATCCGATTGGGGTTATGGATTGGATCTCCGAAATGGAGCTAGCCTTCATGACGTGTGGCTGCAGAGGTAAGTTGCAAACTATCTATGCCGTGCGTCAATTCCGAGGTGGAGCCGTTCGTTGGTGGAACACTCTAGGGAAAGACTTTGAGCCCAAATGAGCCACTGCAATTGTCATGGGCAGAGTTCTTGGTGCAGTTTAAGCGCAAGTTCTGCTCGGCTCAAAATCTGTTGGAGTTGGAGAACAAGTTCCTGACATTGACAAAGGCAGCATGTCAGTTGATGAATACACCAATAACTTCACCGATAAGATGGAGTTTGCCTTGCGTATCGTTCCAGACGAGCTGACTAAGGTGGATCGGTATGCGAAGGGACTTCCATGGGAGTACGAGGTGCCAGTACGTCAGGCACTTACTTAGAGGCAGCTATCTGGGCTGCCAAGTCTGTTGAGAACATGATAAAGGGGAGAACCACCAACAAGGTTGAGGTTGGTGAGAAGAGGAAGTTTGAGGGAACATCTGGTTCCGGTAAGAAAAGTAAATTTTCGAAATCTGATTCGAAAAGGTTTGGTGGGGGAAAAGGAGGGAAGCGAAGTGGTGTGAAAAGTGTAAGAAAAAGCACTTTGGGAAATGTAGCGAGGATGTAACTTGCTACAAGTGTGGAAAGGTTGGACATTTTGCCAATGAATGTCCGAACAACAAAAGGATGTGTTTTGGTTGTAATGAAGAGGGGCACATTTTGAAAGACTGTCCGAAGAAGAAGGAGGCAGCTAAGCCCAACATTCCACCAAAGCCGAAGGCGAGAGCATTCCAGATGACACTGGAAGCTGCTAAGGATGAAGCTGATGTCGCTTCAGGTACCTTTCTCGTTAACAATTTGCCTGCCCAAATTTTATTTGATTCTGGAGCCAACTACTCCTTTATATCGCATGAATTTGGTAGAAAACTAGCTTTGCCTGTTGATAGACTAGATAATGCTTTATTAGTCGAAGTTGCTAGTGGCAAGTTTGTACCTGTTAGCCATCGTATGAAAAACATCTTAATCGACTTGAATGGGAATAAGTTCGCGAGGAATTATTG